AAAAATGAACAGCCAAAAGTCCCTAAACTACCGGCTCAGTCCTATTAATAGACTGACCTCCTCTAGACCTAGACCTACTAGGACCGGTACCGTTTTAGTTTGGCCTGTTCGGCCTGGACCCTAGTCGGCTATACAACGTGAGACCGTCGCTACAGCCCAAGGCCCGTTGGGCCTGCTGTCCTAGTGATAGCCCGGTATTGCTAGAGGCAGCGAGGGTACTAAAGGAAATTTGTGGCACTACTGGAAATGTAATTTTCCTAGATTTACAGATCTGTCCCTCTTGAATTTCCCGCGGACTGAACTCACGGTTAGTCCCTGACACAAACAAAATTACGAATCTAACCCTAGGACTTCACTGTACAACCTCGCAGTCAGATCTCGGCAGCAGAAACCAGCAAGTCATTGCAGGCTTACCCTTCCGGGGAGCGAGGACCTCCAAGCTAAGGGTGCAAACGAGGAGATCGACGGGGAAGGTTCCCTTTTTGAGCCGCCTCGTAACGAAGTACTACAGACTTTGCTGTCTTGAGAAATTCTTTCCTGGTGAACCACCTATCCTCGGTATGAGGCTGGAAACATAACTTCACAAGATACTGCCGGTTGGGGCCAGTGCCCCACTCGTCCTCGATGGACTCCACGTCATATCCCTTGCCGGGGATCGATGGACCAAACTGAGGGGGCCGGTCTGGGAATGCATCAGTTGGGATGAAGGGGAGCAACTTAGATGCATGGAAGATCGGATAGGTCTGTAGATGTAGTGGGACGTCGATAACGTACGACGGGCCAAAAGGATCGGAGCCCACTATATCTAACACTTGCCACGGACCCAGGTATTGTGGCAACAACTTGGGAGAGATATCCTCTTCCCTCGACAACTCTGAACTGGCTACCCAGACGTAATCGCCAGTACGAATGGGGAAAGGACGTCGGTGGCGATTAGCTTGTTCAATCATGGCCTTTTGAGCCTTGAACAAGTTCACCCGTGCCCTTTCCACATCGGCTCTGTAGCGTCTGGTAAACTTTGCAGTGCCAGGTGTTAGATCAGACTTAAGCCTTATTGATGATGTCATCAAGAGGCTGTCGTGGCTCACGTCCCAAATGCAAACGATATGGACTGAACCCAGTTGAAGAGTGGATAGAGGTATTGTAAACAAGTTGTGCACGAGCCAAGTGGAGATCCCAGTCCTGTTGATATGAAGAGATGACAGGCCTCAGCAACTGAAACAAGACTTGGTTCATCACTTCAGCCTGACCATTGGTTTCAGGGTGACGGCCAGAAGTCCTGTTCAATCGTGAGTGTAGGTAGTCCTTGCAGTAGGACTGCCACTCATTGCTGCAGAATCGTGGGTCTCTATCACTGACTATAGAAGTGGGCGGTACATGGTGAGTGACCCACCTCTCTGAAAACGCTGCTCTCACAGCGGGGACCCTAGCTACTTCTGGCAAGGGGATGAACTCTGCGTACTTAGAGAATCTGTCCACACAGACCATTACCTGACGCATGCCACGAGGGGTGGTCTTGCCTAGATCTATTAAATCTATAGATACAGATTCAGCAGGACCAGCAGGTATGGGCAAGGGTTTGAGCAGTCCCAGAGGAGGTCTTCGTTGGACCTTATTTCTCTGGCATAGCTCACATGCTTCAATATAGTGCAGCAGATCACTCCGCATCTCCTTCCAAAAGAAGCGCTGCGACAGGGCTGCATATGACTTTAGGAACCCAAAATGACGGCGTGCATCATGACACTCTAACATCAGCAGAGTCCTCAGTCGCTGATCCTTGGGAATGCATAAGCGCTCCTCACCCCTGCTGTAAGTATACAACAAGTCTGAACTCAGGGCATAAGCCTAGTTCAGATTTGGGATTTGCTTGCAAATTTCGGATTATGGGTCCATAAGCTGGGTCCTGAGGCAATAAACGGGCAATGGTCTGACGGGTTTCCTCTCCAAAGGAGTGAGTGGAGGAGATCAGCGCGGAGATCAGCGCAAAAGAGTCAGGCCTGTGAGAGAGGGCATCCGCTATTTTATTCTAGCAGCCCTTCTTATGTTCCAGTTCAAAGTCAAACATGTCAATAAACTGAATGTACCGTGCTAACTTATCGTTTAACTCTCCCTGGGACTCCATCCACTGTAGTGTGGAATGATAAAAAAAGATCTTGAAGTGCCTTCCCAGGAGAAAGTGCTTCCAATGCTTTATTGCACAGACAAGAGCATACAACTTTTTCTCGTAGGTAGAGTCCTGAAACTTCTGTGTCTTGATCTTCTTGCTCATGAACTCTACAGGCCGTAGACCATTCCCATCATCTTGCTGAAGAACTGCCCCAATGCCATACCGACTGACGTCAGTGGTCACGATGAAAGGCAAGGTGGGGTCAGGCAACTTCAACACTGCTGCACGAGTCAAGGCCTTCTTGAATCGTGTGAAGGCCAATTTACAGGGGAGGGACCAAAGAAAAGGAGTGTCTTTCTTTGTTAGGTTAGTCAGGGTGCGGTCACTGCAGAAAAGTTCCTGATAAACTTTCTGTAGTACGAAGCCAAACCCATGAAGGACCTGACATCCCTCACTGTTTGTGGCTGGGGCTACTCCTGAATAGCAACAATTTTAGCTGCTTCAGGGGCCAACCCATCTCCAGAGATTACATGACCCAGATAGATGATAGAGGGAACTCCAAAAGAGGACTTCTCTCTGTTGATTTTATACTAGCTGTCCCATAACGACTGAAGAACCAGAGCTAGATGCTCCGAATGCTCCCTGGCAGTTCGGCTGAATACCAGAATATCATCTAGGTAGACAAACATGAACTTGTCCAGGTAAGGCATAAAGATGCGGTGCATCTCAGTCTAGAAGGTACCTGGGGCATTGCAAAGTCCAAATGGCATAACCAAATATTTGTAAGTACCATATCTGGTTTTGGAGGCGGTCTTGTGGACATCCTCCTCTACAATCTCAATCTGGTGATAACCAGATTTGAGGTCAATTTTGTTGAACACTGTGCAACTCTGTACCATACCCAACAGGTCATCCATCCTCGTAATAGGCTTTGTACTTTCCTAGTGATTTTGTTGAGGCCCCTGTAGTCGATGCACATTCTGAACTCTCCATTCCCTTTCGGGACGAAGAGCACTGGTGCGCCAAATTCAGATGTGCTCGGTTGTATCCAGCCTTTGCTGGTCAGGGTCTCTAACTGCTTTCTGAGCTCCTCAAGCTCAACAGAGGACATCCTGTAGATGTGACCCTTGGGAGGGACCGCTCCAGGTAGCAGCTCGATTTGATGCTTGGTTGGCCGGTTGGGCAATCCAAAGGGCTCCTGCACCAGATCAACATACTGATCCACAACCTGCTGTATCCCAGGAGGACAGGAAACAGGCGCAACGTCTGTTTGTTTGACCAGAGCTATAAACAAACGCTCATGGTCGTACTGGCGCGAGAGGGAATAAAACTCTCTCGCTCTCAAACAGTAGCAAAAGTTCTTTGGGTGGTGTTTAACAACAATCCTGCAAGTCTGATATACCCCCTGTCCATTGGGGAGCTCAACCTTAGGGATCTGTCAGTCGATCCTAGGGTTGACTGCCCTCAGCCACTGCATCGAGAACACCAGATCAAAGGGTTGATCAGGGAATGTATAGAAGTTCATACGGTGTCTGACTTCCTCAGCACTATCGAAGGTAACAGGGATGCCCCTGACCTTCTCCCTGAGGGTGACAGTAGTGAAGTCACCTATCTTAACCTGCAGCGGATGCTGCAACTGCTCAACTTTCATGCCCAGGTGCAATTTCTTGATAACTCTGGGGGACATGAAGTTTCTGGTGGCTCCACAATCCAGCAACCCGTTGATTCTGATGTGATTGATTAGGGGCCGAAGCAGGATGAGGTCAGACTTGACTTTCTTTTGTTCTTTCAGATGAAAGAAAAAGGCAGCAAGTGTCTGCAGCTCATGCTCCTCCGGTTCCTGATCCGGGTCAGGATCCTCATAACAAAAGGATGCTGCCCGCGCGGCTCCCACACTCTGCGGTGTCTCAACTGAAGCAGTTGCAAATTCATCTTCCTCTGAGGATGAGGGTGCAACACTGGAGGGAACTGCAGTCCCCAGGGTCAGCTTCAATTTTTTGACTGACCCGGGCCTGGCATGTAGGAAGTGTTGCCCCTCACATAGCAGGTTGACCCCTCTATCCTTTCTTCTTCTCCAGACTCCTTCCTGGATCTTGAGATCATGCCAGGGAAGAGTGGAGGGATTGAGTGGGTCAGCTGGCATACGGACGTCTTTTGGCAGGTTGGGGCGCCGGGCAGGGGTAGAAGGACGACGTCCCTTGTCCTTCCCCTTGGTACTGGCTGAGGCTGTGGTAGGAGAAAACCTTTTCTGCTGCTGCAGAACTCCCAAGCCAGCCTGAGTCAGGGCTGCTGCAACATCTGTATCAGCAGCTGATGGTACATCAGCCTGGGAGTCTGAATCACTGGCTGATCCAGATCCTGCATGTGCAAAGGCAGCCTTCTCCTTTCTGCCACCACGAGGGAAGGCTCCTTTTCTTCTATCAGAAGAGGGGGCCTGAACATGTAGCTTTGCCTCCATGTCCAGGGCTGCACGTCCAAAGGATCTCCAATCCTTGTTCCCAACATTGTATAAAGCAACAACAAACTTCTCAGGCGCTGCCCTGCAGAAGTTGGTTAACAGATCATCTGCTGATACGACCAACTCAGGGGTAGAGGTGAGTTGCTCGAACTCCGTAAACAAAGATTGCAGCGACCCGCTATAACGTTGTTGCCCCAGGCGAGCAATCTTGTCAGCAGCTTTGCAGGCCCGCTCCGTGTCTGCAAAACGGTCCTTTAGGGCTTGCAGAAGTCTCTCCACCCCCAGCCCAAAAGCCCAGTCCTCTAGGCGCTGGTCCTGTCTGCTGGAGGTTGAGGTAGCCCACTTCAATGCGGGCCCCTCCAGCAGTCCCAGCACTGTCGCAACCTTGGTCTGCTCTGCATATGTAAAGCCTCTCAAGTAGGCTTTGGTACTTGCAGTCCAGTCCCCAACGTCCACTTTGGGATCGTCGCCTTTGAACTTGTTGGGGGCTGGAATCTTGGGTCCCCTTTGATCACCTGCAAGAGCAGATTCAAACATTGGGCAGCTTGTGGCTTTTTGGGAGGGAGGTGGTGAAGGGGAAGAATGGCGGGAACCAGAGGGAGATTAACTAAGAGAAGGAGAAGGTTTTACTTTGGGTACAGGAGGCTGAGGAGTAATCAGCTTGGCTGTTGTCAGTTGAGCAGTCAGAGCCTGAATTGTATCCAATAGCTTTGACTGCTGAGCCGCCAGGTCCTCAACTCGACGCTCAAGACGGCCCATGCGATCATCCCAATTGGTGAAATAGGAACTGGTGGCTTTGTGTCCCAAAACGGCCCACTCCGCCAAGTTCCTGGTCACCTGGGTGCAGCGTTCATCTGACATGGCCTTGGTTAACTGCTCCAACAGATACTCGCTGCGCGAGGCATCTGTTGCAGCCTCCATCTCGGCTGCCTCCTGTCTCTCAAGTTCTGCAAGCAGCGCCTGCTTCTGCTGCAGTCTATCCTGCAACTCCTTCCGCAGAGTAGCAGTCAGAGGTGTAGTAGAGTGGGAGGCAGAAGCCCGTTGAACTTCTGTCTTCACTTCTACTTCTGCCTGTGGCTGCTGCTGAGCCTCCTGATCCGCCATTTCCTGCTTTCAGACACACACTAGTTAGTGGACAAACAAGGGAGTATGCAACGATATACCAATGCCTTCAGACACTAAAAAATCGTTGCTATCTCTTGCACAGACATAGGTGGGTGAATGGGCAACAAACGATTGGGGCTGGAACAATGTCTCTGGAGGTCAGCGGCCAGATAGACAGATCGTCCAGTAAAATCAGTCACGATTTCCTTTTACCGACCTTGCACCTTAACTGGAGTTAGTATAGACAATTCCAGTGACCCAGAGATATCCTAGAATTCCAAATCCCACTAGAAAACAAGAGGATACAATGGGAGAGAGAAAGAGTGGTAAGTACCGACAATCACAGACCAACAAGATGGAACGATTTAGTCAGTAGCCTTCAATCCTACCACAGACTTAAATTTCGCCGCTGTTGACTCTCACAGCCATACCCAGAGGTATGGCGATTTACAGTATTCATTGTAATTACTCAAATAATGATAATCTGGTCAAGCACTATACTGATGACAACAACAAAATTGCGATTCACTACAGACAAAATTGAATTCTGACGGGCAGAATTGTAGTTGCGACTAACCCTAGATAGCTTGAGCTATAAATAGACTCGGCGCAAAATTACAATCCACAATATCAGTACTTTTCCAGTACATAATTCACATTCTGAGCATACAGGATTCAGCGCAATACTGTCATCCAGTCCCAGAACAGATTTGAGACGGAGAGAGTCGGGGGGGGAGATATGAGAAAGTGAAGATAGGAAGAAGATGTCTATGGCTGTCATGGAGTATGACAAAACTAATTTTGGACCCTGGCAGACAGATAAACCATCAATTCTGACTATATTGACACTAAGTACTTCGCTAGACAGAGATCTGTGTGGAACGTACTCACTTTCAGTGTAGTCTTTAGAAAATGATGAAGATCTGGCTATGGCAGACTGAAACCCTCATCTCGCCAGTTGCTTCCAGAAATTCCTCCTCTGGTCTCCACATACAAAATCTCCTCAAACTTGTTGATCTTGCTCATGATACTCGTTGATCTTGCTCAGGATACTAAGGTGCTTCAATCCCACTTACTAGATTCACTGAATCTAGTCCAGTGGCGATCTGATAGTCAACATAAGATTTCTCGCAACTGACCCAGGTAGCCGCTGATGCTATAATTAGCCCCAGATGGGGTCAACTCTCCATGGGATTGACTCTGGCAGTCACTCCAACTCAGCACTCCTGAGGGATGATGTCGCCACTCAGTTATCCTCAATGTTCAAGGGCAATTCGCCACTCTAAGGCAAATCGTTCATCTGCACTAAGGGTTGATTTTGGCGAAATAGCCCTGTACTCGCCAATTCCGACAAGCGCTCTGGCAGGGACAATGCGTTTGGTCAATCGAGTCACTGTACTCTTGAATTCGTCGTGTGCAAATCTTCTTCTCCATTGCTTCAGCCCCGAAGAAGATGAACCGCCATGGAACTCCCTTCGGAAGATCTTCAGAAGAAGAAGATGCCCCTGTTGCGCTCAACCCTCAGTGTCCCTAATCCTACCCAGCTCTGATACCAACTGTTACGAACTTGGTTGTTTGGCGATTTTCACCGCCACTCACACATAGACAGCCTCATACACGCCCATACATGCATAAGAAGAAGGGGAGAGGAGACAAAGTACACACTGTACATATATGAGAATAGGCAGTGGAACATAACCACGCACAGATGTGGAGAGGACAATGTGTTTCTCACTCTCTGACGAAACTCCCAACAACCGATCACAAGAAGACAGCTGCGAGGATAACAATAGGATTCACACTGATGATGAGCCAACTCAAACCAATTATCGTTACAGAGTTTATTTCAATATCTCGCCACCCTCAGAACTCCACACACCACTCTCTACCCTACACCTAGTTAGTAGCGCAACCCTGAAATGGCCTCCCAGAGGCCAGCGCCAACCGCCCAAATGGAGAAGAGGTGCTGCGATGAAGCCTTCAGCGCCGGTGAACACTCTGACGAAGAAGCTGGCAGCTATGGCTGCCCCACCACTGATGAAGCCCTGATAACTCCAAAGGGGAGATGGGCGACAGTGGTCCACCCACAAATACTCAATGAAGAGCCTCAGCATAGCCCTGCCAGACGCAGATACCCTCAGGGGTAGATGCTCTGAGGATGCCCCAGCTATGGCAACCTCCGGAAGGCTGGCTATGGCTGCCACACCACGGCGAGGGTTTC